CTCTGTCTCAAAAAAAAAAAAAAAAAAAAAAGAAAGAAAGAAAGATAGGGCTTGATAGCAGTTCCCATGAGAAGGGCTGGCTAGGTTTATTCACCATGAGGGCCACATGAGTCAGCAGAGATGGCTCTGGGTTGCCCAGCAGCCTCTGCCCTCCTGGCAGCCTTACCCACAAGCGGGCATCTACCTAACAGGGAGTGTTTCCAGGCCCTCTGCCCAGCACAGCCCAGCTGTGTGCCCCCATCCCACTAAGGTTCTAAGGAAGGGCCCTTTGGTGCCTCCTGATCCCCCTCAGCCTGGTGGGGGTAGGTGAGGGCAGAGTTGGCAGGATCCCTGGGTCTACCTGTCCTTCTCTGTCCACTGATTGGTCCCCAATGATCAGAAGCTGGCCCTGCACAGCAGGTGTGGAGATGAAAGGACATGGACCCTGTCCCAGGAATGCACAGGCCTGTGCAGAGAGGCTGCCACTATCACCCAGGAGAGGTTGAGGGTTAACATGGGGCAGTGTGGAGAGCATTAGGGGATGCTGGACAGGCCCTTGAAGGGCATTTTTATTTTTTTTTTGCAATTTTTGGCCAGGGCCGGGCCTGAACCTGCCACCTCCGGTATATGGGCATTTAAGGGATGAAAGAGAGAGGAGGCAGCATGAACATGGAGAAGGAGTAAGGAAAAAGCTAAGCAAAGTAGTCTTCGAGGCCACAGAAGAGCCACCTGCCCCAAGGGAAGAAAGGAAGTCCTCAGCTATGTCCAGAGGCGGTGCATGTGCAGATGGCCTGTCCTGTGAGCAGTGGGAAGGAGAAAGGAGCTGTGCCTGGGTAACAGGAATGGCTCTCACACCAACCAAATGTCATGTACCAAGCAGAATGGGAGGGACAGCCCAGTTGCTGGGCTGGGAAGGTCCCTTCTCCCTGGCAAGCAGTTGAGGAGTTAAGGGCTTCCTTCACCCCTAGATGGTCTTGAGGTCATTAACTGAGGGTCAGGCAGTTGGCAAGAGGAGTCCCCCTCTTGGTGAAAGTCCTATGCACTTGTGGTATACAGAGGCAGCTGCCCGTCCTGTTCCCTTCCCAGTGGCAACGATTTCAGTCCCTCAGTGTGCTATTTGGGTAATGACCCTGGGTGCTAAGGCTGATACCCTCGTGTTCTCACCACAAGTTCTTCCTCCCTTATCGAGGCATCTGCAGTGTTCACATGCCCATAACCCTGTAACTGCCATCCACAACTATCTGGAATGACTTTTTTTTTGAAACAGAATCTCACTGTGTGACCCTCAGTAGCATGCTGTAGCGTCATGGCTCAC